GATTCTGACTTACCCAGGGTGATTTAAATGCTTTATTTGTTACACTTTTACACTCACCCTGATTCTGACTTACCCAGGGTGATTTAAATGCTTTATTTGTTACACTTTTACACTCACCCTGATTCTGACTTACCCAGGGTGATTTAAATGCTTTATTTGTTACACTTTTACACTCACCCTGATTCTGACTTACCCAGGGTGATTTAAATGCTTTATTCAGTATAAATACTAAGCTTGCTATTAAACTGTCATGATTACACAATGCCATTTAGAAAGTGGTCAAATGTAACATATGTTATATTTGGGATTACACTTTCTTAGTAAAGTACAAATTCTAGTACTTTTTTTAGTTGAGCCCCATCCGGGATTCGAACTCAAACCCTCAGGGTCAGGCACCTAATCTGTCGTTTTATTCATAATATTCAGTTTTACTTGTACATGTATTCTGATCTATATACTTATAAGGTTCAGTTTTAATTTTACATATATTCCGATCTATAAACTTATAAGGTGATTTGATTTAAACATATTTTATTCACAAATGTGAAAGGGATTGGGGACAAATTATCCAACTTAAAATACCCGCTCCCTAATATTTACATACATACAATTTCAATTATATACTTCTTAGGAAAGAATGCAGTTTGCACACATTTGAAAATGCATTAATTCTGTTGAATAGTCAGGTCACGTCTTCCAAGTAACATCAGTGACAATGTGATTGGAGAATCACGTTTTACAATATTTTTAATATTTGACATTAATATCTCTTTGCATGTTGTACAGTCTACATTCTAATAGGAAGTGATGTACATTTTCACAAGCATTGCCACAGTAACAAGAAGCAGAATCTTTCATGTTGAAACAATAAAGATCATAATTTAACTGACTAGTCATATATCTCAACTTTGTGTGAATAATATTAAATTTTATAATACCAAACGAGTAATGTGATGGACCTACAGGTTGCTCACCCTTTAAATATAACTTGAAATTGGTAATGAAGGTCGATTTCTTTCGGTTTCAGAAATATTATTCCATATTCTTACAGTTGATGGAAAAAGGGAATCATACAAAAGTCTTAACCTTGCAGAAGGAAGGATAATATTGTTAGCATTCCTAAGGTTATAGTTAGATCTGGATCCCACACTATCTGGAGTAATATCTTTTAAGTATACAGGAGCTAAATTATTTTGAATTTTATGAAAGAGACAAAGTTTTCTTCTTTTCCTTCGTTCATCCAGTCTTTCCCACCCTGTCTCATAATATAGAATTTCCCGTGAGGTATATCTAGGAAGACCAGTAATTATTCTGGCAGCTTCTAACTGAAGTTTCTCTAAGTTTTCCTTCTGTTGTACGGTACAACCATCCCATAATTCACAAGCATATTCAAAGTGTGGTCTGATAAAATATCTTATAAATATTGTTGATTGTATTTCTGTTTAGTAAATATTTCAATTTTCGCATTAATGATATCATTTTGGAGCACGACTTGATAATTTGATTAGTGTGACAAGACCATTTGCCGTTTGCTTCTAATGTTATTCCAAGATGTTTATGATTGTTTACCAAATTAATTTGCTTTCCGTCAAAAAATAATTTCAATTCTTCAAGTTCATTAATCATGGAAAACAACACTGCTTCTGTTTTTGCAGGATTATATGAGACCAACCAGTTTTTGCTCCAGCTATGTAATATGTCTAAATTGGCATTAAGAGAAGTTTCGATTTCTTTGTACTTTTTGATGATTTCGTTGATACTTATAAGGTTCAGTCTTACTTTTACATGTATTTGTATTCTAAGGATGACCTATATACTTATAAGGTTCAGTCTTACTTTTACATGTATTCTATATGCTTACCTATATTCTTATAAGGTTCAGTCTTACCTTTTTACATGTATTCTGACCTATATTCTTATAAGGTTCAGTCTTACTTTTACATGTATTCTGACCTATATTCTTATAAGGTTCAGTCTTACTTTTACATGTATTCTGACCTATATACTTATAAGGTTCAGTCTTACTTTTACATGTATTCTGACCTATATACTTATAAGGTTCTAGTCTTAGGTTCAGTCTTACTTTTTTACATGTTTACTTTTACATGTACTATATACTTATAAGGTACAGTCTCAATTTTACATGTTTTCCAACATATATACTTATAAGGTTCTATATACTTATAAGGTTCAGTCTTACTTTTACATGTATTCCGATCTATATACTTATAAGGTTCAGTCTCAATTTTACATGTATTCCAACATAAATACTTATAAGGTTCAGTCTTACTTTTACATATATTCCAACCTATATACTTATAAGGTTCAGTCTTACATTTACATGTATTCTGATCTATATACTTAAATTGTGCAGTCTTAATTTTACACTTACTCTGATATTTGTGTTAATAATATTCAGTCATCCCTTTATATTCATCCCGATGTTTGTTCTTATAAGATTAAGTCTTACTTTTACATTCACCCTAGTAATACAATCAAGAGTAAAAAATTAACAACTCTTCCATAGATGACTCAGCCACAGTTTACTTCAGCGCAGTAAGCTCAAAAGTGACTCCCCGAAACAATGTGCCTTGCCTCCTTGTATCGTCATGGCAACACCCACCCTTTCAATATGACCATTGTGGGTGGTTCACCCACATCCCTACTCTTTAAAACTCCATGCATCTCGCTCCTTGTATTCTTCTGTGAGCAGCTATTCCTTTCATTCCGACCTTTGTGGGTGAATAACCTTCCTCCTCCAACAAATTGAAATCAATTCTTCCGTTTCTCCAGTGTCCTCGTTTAACCTGACACCAGCACCCTCGTCCCCCACCTCATCTATATAGCATCTTCTACTTATTCCAGCATCCCCACACTTCTTCCAGCCTTCAGCTGGGGATCGAAGCACCCGCGTCCTACTACAATTGATAAAGCCATCCATCGTATACTACCACAAAGATCTCAACGTGACACCCTTTCTTGCTGAGTGTAGTTAGAAGCCCTGTCTCATCTGTGTCACATTTTTTCCCATCTCATTGAAGTAAGTAATCCTCGTCCATCCTACCTTTACTGATGTAGATAATTTGTGTCTCTCTGTCACTCCATCCCTATCGGTGAACATGGTCGGTCCCTTCCCCTCCATTATACTCCTAAAAAATAATACCTGATTTTTTTATATCACTATAGGTAATCTGTCATGCCATTAACAGACACATTGACAGATTAACTGTATTAATAAATCAGGTGTTCCTGAGCTTCATTTAAGTGGTATATATTCTTTTCTACTCTAAGAATCTCAGCTTCACCAGCCTCAGTGCTACAAATGATGGATATTAAAGGACTGCACCCCAGCCATCCCGCCCACCCCTCCAGACAGTATCTGTCTAGCACCCCCATCTACACTTCTCTCCACCCCATTATTGGGTGAAGTGAAACACTGAGCTCTGTTACATACCACCCCCACTGCTATCCATGATAACATACCCTAATTTCCATAACACCCACCAATGTGAGTAAACGTTAGAGCCCTGCCCTCCACTCTGTATTGTCCCTCTCAGTCTCCCACCCACCTCCATTTAAATAACATCATACATTGTATCATATCCAGTCACCCCTACCCTTTTTATAGCATCACAACATACCCAAATTTCTATATCATCCATTCCAATTAGAAAGATACAGAGACCCTGTCTTGCCCTGCCCTGCCCACAACTCTCTCCTCTTCTCATTCTCCTATCCCCCTTATTTGTTTAAACAACATTATATCCTATCCAGTCACCCCAACCTTTTTTGTAACATCATAACTTACCCAAATTTCTATATCATCTACTCCAGTTAAAGATACAGAGACCCTGTCTTGCCCTCAACTCTGTCCTCTTCTCATTCTCCTTCCCCTCCCTATCTAAGTAACATGTCATATTAAGTCAACCCTATCTATACAACATAATGACATACTAAAAGTTCCATATCACCCACTCCAATAGGTGAAATAAAGTCTTGCCCTGCCCTCAACACTGTCCCCCTCTAATACTCCTCACCCCACCCCATGTAATTAACTGTATGGAATACCAATATCTATAAAATATTATAACATATTAAAATTTCTATATCACCCACTCCAATGAGTGACATATAGAGTCCCTACCCTGCCTTCGACCCTGTCCCCCACTAATTCTCCTCACCCCACCCAATGTAAATAACTGTATGCAATACCAATATCTATAAAATATTATAACATATTAAAATTTCTATATCACCCACTCCAATGAGTGACATATAGAGTCCCTACCCTGCCTTCGACCCTGTCTCCCATTAATTCTCCTCACCCCACCCCATGTAAATAACTGTATGCAATACTCATATCTATAAAATATTATAACATATTAAAATTTCTAAATCACCCACTCCAATGAGTGACATATAGAGTCCCTGCCCTGCCTTCAACCCTGTCCCCTTCTAATACTCCTCGCCCCACCCCATGTAAATAAATGTATGGAATACCAATATCTATAAAACATTATAACATATTAAAACTTCTGTATCACCCACTCCAATGAGTAAAATAAAGAGTCCCTGCCCTGCCTTCGACCCTGTCCCCCTCTAATTCTCCTGGACCCACCCCTATGTAAATAACAGTATATCATACCCAATCACCTCCACCCCATTGCCCCAAGTAAGATGCCACTGTCTTCTTCATCTCTACAGGATTATAGCATCGCTACTCAGTGACTATCTCCATGTCACATCCTCCCCTTCCCCTAGTCCACGTAAGTGGCAACTTCAAGATCCCTGTCCTCATCACTATCCAAATCAAATCTCTCCTTTTCTCAGTATCCTCACTTCACCCCTGACACCACCATCACCTCCTGAGGTGACCGTTTCCCAGTGCGAGTGAAGCATCTTATAATGAGGCAGTTGATTTGTGCTTCTGATCACTGCTTCAATACCCAGCCCGATGTGCTGCTATCCTACTGACTGTACAGTCTGTCAGTCAGTCAGTGTGAATTAAAGGGCTCTCCGTGAGCCGCTCAACTTACACACACACGCTCTCTCTACACAGACACCGGTCGCATGCTGGTCTAGCACGTTGAATGAATGAACAACAACGGCATGCAAGTAATCAGCCGCGGTGAGGATCACATCTGATTGGATATAGGAGTCCCGTCACAGCCATACTATGTTGCGGAACAGGTACGGTTCGTACACGCGTTCCAGTGATCGCTGGAGTACAGGAGTCGTTATCTGTGTGGAGTACCATCAAGTCATTGTTTAACTCTTCCACTGCTGTTGCCAAAAAGTGAGGTAAGAGAGAGAGGAGGACAACTGGATATTACAATGTAAATTGGTGTAATATTGTATAACGTGTTTGGGATATCCTGTGCTTCAATGGATTTATCTCGACTTGGTGTATACTGCTGTGTTTCCTTCATGAGAGGATAGCCTTTTTCCTATTGAAGAAGGTAAGTCACGTGTGACCGGCCAAACTGTGAACGCTTTACACAGCATTAACAGCCCTAACTATTTATATTGGCTGTCATATCTACTATAAGTCTTTTTGTTACACACAGGGTTCCTGGGTCACTGGACTCTAAACACACACCTTGGCTTATCAGTTGCTCAGCCTGGAGCTTCTCCTGAACACCCAAAATATTATTACATAGGCTATAAAAAACCGTTGGATATCTAAGTTTGGGATCTTGATATGCAGATAGCCATTATGCATAGGAAGTGTCTTTATTGTGTCTACACTCCTTGGCAAGGAAATGTACACCCACAGAACATTAGTCAGTTTGGACAGGTTTCAAACTTTAATACATAGAAATTTATTATTATTATAAGGAAATGCTTGATATTTGTTGGTGTGATAATCGTCACATGATATTTGCATGGTCTTAATTCCTGTTCTAATGTTGAATATTTTTACTTTTTACTTTAATATATGATTTTTTTATTTGATGATTTTATTAATAGTGAAGAATAATTCATTATTCTTACATTCATAATCTGAATTAATTAACACACAGGAATGTGCTAAAACTGGAGAAAATATGTCCATATTTGTTCATCCTTACAGCAATGTGTTATGCTTACAACATAGTATGTATTGTACACATCTGTACTAGGTGTACCCATGGTATGCTTGGTAGAGTCACTGGGGTATTCACCTGTTTGAATGCATGAATAAGTGTTTCATGGTTTGAAGGTACATAAATGGTCCATTATGAGAGTCTCTTACCCTCCATTTTGTCTGATCACTGAGGTTCAAAAGTAAGGAGTGTTATGTGGAAACCATGAAGATTGTTGTCGACAGACAAGCTCTTGTCAGATTGTCCTAATCTGATGTCTAGACAAATTGATATTTTACACATTAATTGAACCATCATTCTTGTGATAAGTTAAAGACATATATAGTAAATGAAGTTTCACTATTATCTAGTGTCTCATAGTCTCATATCATAAATTGTTCCAGGTCATTGAGTGTTATGTAAAAACTAGCTATCCTGACTAATATATTCACACATTCCTATTATATGTAGATATACTACTGAAGAAAGTTGAAGAACACCAATTTTTTATGACAATAGCTATTCTAATTTATGACAAATTATTTATAGTCGTATGAAAAAAATGCATAGAAAGAGTAACTTCTTTTTCAGTAGCATATAGAGACAAATGAATATTATACATAATGACTTGGTGTGTCTGTGAAGTTTTAAAGAGCAGATGAAAGTAAAGATATTTATGCTGATTGTAAAGTAACAGGAGAACTGGAAGCCCCTAAGCATCCATTTTGACTGATCATTTAGGTTTAAATGGAAGGTGGGTAATTCTGTAGAAACAGTAAGGCCTAATTATGTACAAACATTTACGATTTTGTTTGTTACATTTAAATTAATATATTTCCACTTACTTGTAGAATTTGTGAAGGATTTAGATATTGTAAGATTGTGTTTCTTAAAATGAAATTACACCGCTAGTGTAGCCATACATATTATATAGATCAATATCAGGGAAAAAGTGATGATGTAAGGATATGAATGCCATTTGACTAATCTGAAAGTAGATTTTTATGAAGGTCTGTTAAAGGTTATCAAAGATCTGTAGAGAGTTAAAAAAAAAGATGAAAGATAAGCAAATGTTTCAGCTAAAAAATGAAGTGCTAATTTGTTAATAGGGAAAACAACTGTTGAATTTTTTGCCTTACATGGAAAAGTGAAATGAACATTTTTTTTTTAAATTTTTGCAAATTGGACATATATGTTAGTTCTGTTCGATCAGTGTTTCCTATTTGTAAGAAGCTGTTGTTTGATGTTGGTTGAACTTACAAACTTAACAAAATTAAAGATTATTATCAACTTTCAACACATGCCACTAAGAAGCAGTAATAAGAAAAATCATGACTTGAGCCTTTATAGAAAGTATACAACCTTGCATCTGATGTTCATCCTTCATCTGTCTAGGTTTCACAAATTGTTTTGCTTGATCGTTTAGGATTTGTTTTGTGAATCTTTCTTTAGTAAAAGGACAGAAACCTTATAATGGGAGCTCTTTTGGTGTCTCTGTATAGTAATACAAATGAGCTTGAAGCATTACATTTAAGTGTACATGAAACAAATTCCCAGAGCTTGAAGTATTACATTTTACTGAATATGAAACAAGTACCCAGGCCTTGAAGTACTGCTTTTGACTGCATATGAAACAAGTACCCAGAGCTTGAAGTATAATATTTTACTGTATATGAAACAAGTACCCAGAGCTTGATGTATTATATTTTACTGAGCATGAAACAGGTATCCAGAGCTTCAAGTATTACATTTTACTGATATGAAACAGGTACCCAGATGTTGAAGTATTACATTTTACTGAATATGAAACAGGTACCCAGATGTTGAAGTATTACATTTTACTGAATATGAAACAGGTACCCAGATGTTGAAGTATTACATTTGACTGAATATGAAACAGGTACCCAGAGCATGAAGTATTACATTTTACTGAATATGAAACAAGTATCCAGAGCTTAAAGTATTACGTTTTACTGAATATGAAACAAGTACCCAGAGATTGAAGTATAATATTTGAGTGCACAAGAAAGAAGTAAGGAAACCTTGAAGTATAACGTTTTACTGTATATTGAACAAGTACTCAATTTCCATATTTACTTTGTGTGCATTCCTAACATATTTTGTGACTCTCTGTGAGTAAAATCATATAGGCTGAATATACAAAAGACTCTTTTACTCTCACTCTGTATATTCATAGAAATCAGCTTGGTAATTATGGTTAAACCGTATATAGAACAGCTACCTAATTTCCCCATTGACTTCCCTTACATTCTTAAGATTCTTTTGTAAATCTTCCGTAGTTAAATCATTGAGACCATTCACAAATGGACAGCTCTTGCTTTCTCCCTGCACATTCATTCAAACGAGGTTGGAAATGTTGCTATTTAAGTGCATATAGCACGACTAAATGCTATTTATGTGTAAGCATGCATATCATGACATTTAGCAAGTGCAAATAATGACTGCATGCTATGTGTGGTTGTAGTTTGGGAGATGGTAGAAGGACATGGTTAAACGCACTCATTGACAATTATTGAGGAAGATTACTTTTTCTCAAATCTCTGAAGAATTTACCTGTTCAGGGAAAGTCACCGACGCTAAAGTCAAATATCACATCGCTGATTACACCAGACAAACACATTACATTAGTTTTTAAATCAGAAAGGTTTAAAAGATATGCCTTCAACGTTGACTTTAAGCTTAGAATCTGTAATCTTAATCTAAACGAATCAGGCAAAAAGTTAATTGCCCAGTCAACATGTTGAACACAACCTTGATGGAATTGGAGGCATTTTTCTCATCATTGATTTGTCATTTTCACAGCTCAGATTGATTTGTTTGAGTACAAATTTCTTCAAATAAAGTAAATACGGTAATGCTTTTATCCAGTAAATCTGAATTTTCCCGAAAAGATTTAAACATGTGGTGTTGCAACAATTGTAAATGTCATCACTGGACATATTTCTACACTGTAAGCATTGGAGCACTGGCTGCGTGCATGATGTGATGGCCGACTTCCATTGCTTCACACTCAAGACATGTTTACAGACAACTCCTATCTCTGCAACTGAAGAGTCATTAGCAGACTACTTTGCAACATCATAACCAGCTATATATATCAGGAGAGTGTTGACTTGGGTTGGGATGATGATGTTTCTGTTTCAAACTTAAATATCAGGAAAAATTCTTGACTTCTTCATCCTGTATTGGAAACTGATCTTACATTCTTAGTAATTTTGGCATTTACGATACACAAAATTCCAAAATGGCATGTCATTATATCATTCCTGATATTTTTCATATTATGCTTCTCAATAAAACATCCAATTCCTTCATATGACTATATTTATAATGTCAAGGTTGATGGCACATTGCAACACAGCTTTGCAGTTGTGGTTGTTCTTTAACTTGTATGAAATGGTAAATTTGTATATTTATTCAATATCCTATTTCTTTTAAAAACATATGGCCAGATAATTTTAGCATTTTTTGGGGCAACTTTTTTTATGATAAGTATGAAATAAAGTCAAGAGTGTCAATAAGAGATATTTTTAGCAATTGATTTTCCTTTTTTTACTCACCAAATATATATACATGCTCATTTACAGTAAAGAACTCAGTAAACATTCAAACATTAATGTGAAAAAAAATACCCACTTCAGTGATGCAATACTGAGAGCAAACACAAACCTCCCTGACTTAACAGCGATCCAAGAACAAAACAGAATATTCTATTACCCTGAGGCTTCATTGATTTTTCTTCTGCCAATTCAAATTATCACAACCATGATTTATTTGAAACACTTTTAATTTCCTGAAATTTACCATAAATATGTACTGCCCCTATTATCAGCCTCACTCATGCATGTGCAATTTTAGTGTTGTCATTTCAGCTTAGGTAGAGTGCTCATGAGAGTCTCAACCGGGCTCGGTTACAACTGTGACTTAATGAGATCTATACTAAAGGCCACTGCAAATTATTTATTTGTTCTGCAAATTTCTCATTTTTTTCTCAAAATACCATTATCGTTTTTATGGTTTTTTTAAGGTACTAAAACACTTTCCTTGCCAAAATTACTGACATAATTGCAAAGAGAATTCTGACATTACCATCAGTCTTGTCTGATATTTGTTGTCAGTTTTATTTATGGGGTACATTTTGTGCTGATCTATGTATCTAGGTTTGAAAAATACATCATTTGCAATTTAAACAATAAGAGAAAATAAATTAACTTTGGGGAAAGCAGGATTCCATAACCATCTAATCAACTTGCTGTTTCCTAATTGGTCTTGATTTAGAAAGTGAAACATCTGTTCTAATCCACATGCTAAACATGCAATGTATTTATCAGAGATGTGTTGAACTTGGCGTTATTCTGCTACTTAGTTTTCAT